TACCCTTTTTGAGTGTCTCAAGTGTATTGCCCCATCTCTATTGCAGCATTTTCGCTTAAAACAAGAAGAGTATTATCATTGCGTTCCGCGCGATCTACATACGTGCAAAATTGCACCTAAATGAGGTTTTAAGTACGTAACGATTAAACATGGATTTATAAGTATCATTATCCTCATTATGCAGTATTATTCGTTTCGAAATTATTGTGATCAAGGAAAACGTGCTAAAACCAATTTTACATCATTTACACTAAAACAATCATAGTCCCATTACATTTTTTACAATTGTCTGCTTAAAATCTTTGTGTGATCAAACATTTAGGATAACATTGAACGTATAAAAGTAGTAACACAAGGAAGCTGTTAAATATACTTATAGAACGGCATCTGTCGAACAATTTTTATTTATTGATCTATGAAACGAAACTCAAGAGTCTTATCAATTTTTTATTCAATTGACGTGCATAAGTTTTATACAGGGTGTCCCCAGATTAACCGATCAAGCTTCACCAGTATATTCTATGAATAAAAATAAGAAAAACGTGTTATAAATGCTTCATAAAAGAGTTATGATAAAAAATGAACCTAAAGTCAATAGCGTTCATCGCTTTTACGTTGGAATATAACAATAAGGCGACGGTATTTATCAAAGCTGCTCCTTCTAGCTTCTCCTGGTACAGTTTGATCGTTTAATCCGGGGACACCCTATATACACGTATTCTCCGTAAACGTATCCTTTATTTCAGAGCAAATAAATTCGACAGCAACATGCTCGACTATAACCTGACGCGAACATTGATATGAATCAACAATAAAACATTGATACGTTCTACATATGTGTACATGAATGCATACACGCGTACCTATGTATACATATTTGTATCCGTAGGAAATGACGAACGTCAGTTGTTATACACGCGATGAAAAGTGTCAGGCGGTCTGATGATTTACCGCGGCGATTTATGTCGGTCCCAACGTTGAAACAAATGGATTCACTCTCGAAAACGATTTACGTCCGTGTAATTGTCGGAATCACTAAACGGGGAAATGTTCGACGCGCTCGATATTGGTTCGATTCATTAGCGAATGAGCGTTGCGTTTCTCCTCTGTAAAAAAGGAAAGGAGCAGATCATAACGAAAGGGAAAGGGCTTAACAGGTTAATCGACGAGTTCGCTGAACATTCTACGGTACAATGGCGTGCAAAAAGTTCTGCAGAAAAGCTCGGCTGGCCGAGGATTCGGAATGGCTAGCGCCGGCGTTGGAGATTTTCCTGCGAGCTCATTGCTTGTTGAAGAATTTTATGGATTTCTGGAGGTACGCTCGCCGCGCGACAACATCTTCGTTCAAATTGCGGCGTTCGCGGCGCAAGTGAAATAATAACCCGCTCCGGGTATAACTGTATCTGAAAAAAAATCAGGTTCCACTCGAGTATATGCTGCATCACGAATTACGACGCGGTTCCTTTGCAAGGCGCTCTGGATATTGTGCCGCTGGCGGTGACATCAATTATCTGCGGAAAAGTACTGAAAAAGGGATCGCAGCGACCTGAATTATTTAATGACGTGTTCCCCTGCGACCGATGCAGGGATGCGAAAGATATACCAGAACATATTGTTCGCAAGGTAATGTTTAATAACACACTGCCCCGCGAGATACTGCATGAATGCAATTTCCTGATTCCCATTGTAGAAACTTTTGTGAATATCATACGTCGAAACACTGCTACGAGACAATTTATAATTTTAGTAATAATTGCACAAACACAAATGTGAATATGAACAACGAATAATTTTTCACTTTAATTAAAAATTAATTGGAATTTCGAATGTTCGTTTATATTTCATTTTCTATGTTCGCGATATTCATTGTCAGTTCATATTGTCACGCCTCGAGGCTTACTCATTATTTTTGTTTTACTTTTTTCTCAGATGAATCTAATTCTCATGTCTCTGCAAAAATGCTGCGATATCGAGGATGTCATCTGTCAAATAAAAAGCGTCATGTGCGTCTTAGAAGTACTACCGGCTTGCGCGATGTCAGAAAGATTGCAAACGTTGTCGCGACTTTTGGGAGAGATGATGAGGAAGCTGATTTGTTGCGGTCAACTCGTAGAAGGTATCGGCGAACTACGTTTAGTAAAACTGCATATACGATAACGAGCAGATGAATTATTATTAATTTCCACGAACGGTAAGACGAGAATTGCGCGCAGTCCGGGCAGAGTTTTTCGAATGCTTAACGGGATTATGTGATCCGCTGATGAAGTTGGCATTAATTATGCGTCGTCCTCCAGTTTTACGAGATTTTTACGGCGTCGTTACAGAACCGTTCAGCGATAGGCATATCAGGCTGACGTTAACTCTCGTGACCAACTTCATTCGCGATTGGAGCGAGAAGAGATCCCGTGCGCGGCCGTGTCTGAGAATCTGCCGATTCTGCGATCACGTTATCAGCGAAACGTCGCGACAATGGGTGGGTGAAAATTCAAGTATACAGCTAGTACCATAAATAATTTAAATGCTTACGTAAATATCAAAATTGCGCTCTAAATGAAACATAATAAATTCACGCATAAAATAAAATACAATTGGTTACATGAATTTATTTCCCTAGGGCACATTTTGCTGCATCCATGCGCAACAATTTAACTGCATCCGAAAAGAATGGCTACTGCGCCAATCGATATCAGTTAGTTTCGAAAAACGAAAAACGATGTCCGACGCGTGTAGAATATAAAAAATAAAAAATTTCCTATTATTTGAAGGATGCTTATAAGCAGGAACAGAGTGATTGGATGGCAAAACCGAGACTTTTGAAGAGCGAGCCGTGCACGGACATCGATGACGATTCGAGGCCGCATACGTCCATCGAAACGCTACGGACGATGGGTGTCATCCGTTCTGTCCAGGACAGGAGCGCGAAATTCGACGTGTTCGAGGACCCGAAGGGAAGTCCGGGATCGGCCGATCAGATGATGAAGATGAGTGAGATAAGCGTGACACGTCGCCAGGACGGCGAGCCGAGAACGAGAGCAGAGGCGGGAAGACGCGAACGGGATAAATTTGACAGAGCCGAGGGCAGGGATTTAACAAAGACGATGCCGGGTCGTTCGCTCACCGACGAAGGAATGAGAGAAGAAATAAAGAGGCGCAATATCGACGGAACCGGTGGGTATCCTATCAAGGCAGATGGACGGGAAAAACGTGACGATGTCCCGTATAGAAGTAAGCCTGGCGAAATCCGTGGTTTACGTGACGAGAGCGAGAAACGTACGGCTTCCGGAAAAACGAGGAAAATTAAAAGGGACTCGGCGCGTTCGGATCGATTGGAGCGCACGCCACAGCCATCGGGAACGGAATCCGAAGGGAAGGTCGATCGACCGAGAGGGAAGAAGAAAAGTGCGTCCCCGGAAACGGAAAAGTCAACGAGAAGCAAAAAACTTTATAGGCGTTCGTTGAAGGAGAGTGAAATCGACAAATCAGCGGCCAAAGATAGGCGGAAACTTTACAGGGACGAGCTGGAGGAAAGCGAAAAGGAGAAGTCATCCACTAAAGGAAAACGCAGAAGGAAACTGTATAGGAACGAGGTGGATGACGGTGCGAATTTATTTATTACATCTATGAGTAATATCAGTTTCAAATTTCTCACCCAAAAAAAAGACCAATAGTTTAGATTTTAAATTAATAACTTATATTTGACTTTCGACTTTAATTAATAGATGGAACGGAGAAAGTGGACGGCACGGATGACGATGAAAGGATGTCTGGTAGACGACGTAGGAAGAAGCGACAAGAAGGAGACATGGAGATGGACGACGAAACCGTGGTTAGAAGTGGAAGTAAAGCGTCTCGTAGACGTAGGCGGAAGACGAGTAAAGCAGATGGCTATGACAGTGAAGAGAGAGATACGTCTTATAACGTTGATGAAGAAGGAAAAGTTCGCAAAGGTAGAAAGCGGAGAAGTCGTTTGAGGGACGGAGAAGGTGTGTATACGAGAATTAATTACATAATATGCAGTATAAATATGTAATTTTTTGAGTATATAGTTTAAGAAGTGTACATAATATCTTGTTTAAATATAACACCTCATCATTGAATACGAAAATGATATTACCTCAAAAATCTCATTTCTCCTTTATTATACAATTATTTATACAAATATCTATGTTAACATGTCGTTAGATAAATATCAGATTGCAAATAAGACTGAAAAATGTGTAAATTTAAGGTCCATAGTGGAACCCCTCATTACTCTAAAAGCAAGAAATTTTGCTTACATAGGATGCGCTTATAAGCATAATGACGGAATTAAATTTCCCTTTGCGTGTGAAGGTAATCCTGGTACCAGCACGGAAGATAAATCATCGCCAGATTCAGAGGACGGGCCTAAGAAAGGGACGAGCGTATCGAGTAAGAAGAGACGTAGACAGAGTGACTCTCCTAGAACAGACGACGAATACAGCAAAGCGAGTGGATCTCGTTATACCAAAGGGAGGCTGCCCGCTACAAGGATACCTAATGCAATTGGTAAGATTAATTATCATCCGGTAAATTCAAGTAATACACAAATATTATGATATTGTTTTATACATAATACTTGCATCTAATGATCCATTGCTAGAATGCGGATTTTTAGATGAAGAGATCATTCATCATAGTCAGTTACTCAATACTTTAAGCATAATAATATGCCTTCAGCTTTTGATACTTAGTATACAAGTCGATTTCTTTATAAATGCATAAAATCCATAAAATCCATAAAATCACCTGTTATATTCATTTATTATATCCTTATTTTATAAAAAATAAGTTCACACTTAAAGTACACAGGATTATGAGGATCAAAACGATCTTCTGCTGCCATTTGCTACTTGATTTTGATCGCGATCCCCCTTCGGCATCGTTGATGGAAATTCTGGATCAATGAGGATAGATAGAAGGCCGATGCCGGATCGTCATTAATTGCTAGCACTTGGACGCAGCGCTCCGCGCATTCGCTCATGATTATCGTGTTGCGTTCAAATAACGTAGTTTACGTGCGTAACTGCGGTGCGTTCGCCTCGGTTTGGTTGCCTCGTGAAATTCCTACGTTACAGACGATCGAGCCAGGATCGAGTACCAATTATCGGATCCGCACTTCGTGCAGCTCGGTTGGACTATTCTGCCGGTTGCCAAAACTATGAGGAAAATCGCCAGATATCAAGCTAAGCCGGCGAAACCTCATCTCGATTGGTATGTGAACCAACAGGCTTATCCCTCGTGATGTAATCACAAACAGAATTGCCAGATATATCAAAGCTACACATTACATGGATATTAAACATTATGCGTATTACATAAATATAGGTGCCAGTACATTTTGAAATGTTTCCTTGGTGCACTTTTTCATTCACGATGGATACGAAATTTTTTCATTAACAGTATAAATATGCAATAAGATTTTCACAATTTTCAAACACTTTAAAAGTTACAGTAATAGCAATCGTAAAATGTTAAAAGGGATACGCAATACATGTACGTACGTTTGTACGTCTTTTAAGTCGAGTTTGATTAGGCAAACCCGTCGTCCGTGGAATTCGATCATGTGAAATAGCTCGTTAAGTTTTATGCATCGACGAATCGACGGCACGACCTAGCTAACGCAGCTTTGCCCTTGGTAATGATACGAACGTTCGACGATTTCTCAGCGATTCGAACCATTACCGTGTGGCATACCGTGAGGAACGTAAAATCTGCATCGTTAGACGGAGAAATTAGGAAAATCATTCACTCCGTCACAGACGCAGTAAAAATATGTGTTTTATAAAATATAAAATATTAAAATTTCAAATGCTTGAAATTCGTTATTGAAACGTGCCTACAATTACCAATTTCGTTAATTAATGAATCGTCGCTTTATATTTTTTCTCTAATCAGGTTCAAAAAGCACAGATTGAACGGGAGGATATATTACGACGATGGAGTAACCGTCTTCGTGAATTTTCTATCTGACGGATCGGCGGAAGTATTCTACCCGCAGGGGGAAGTGGTGGCTATTCGATACCAGAGGCCAGGAAATTGTAAATGTAATTTACGAAATTTTACTAATCGTCGGTGGATGTAGGCTGTAAATATAATTCGTTGATATGAAATCGACTTCAAGACGATATGTATACTGTATTCAGCCCAGGGGGTAAGGATTGCATGGGCGTGGAGAGGAAATCGCAGATCGTCGCGGTATTCGACACCATCGGGAACGGCGTTGTCCTCGACGAGGACGGCGCGACGAGGTCCGTGCGCCTGTGTTCAGAAAGAATTCCGCTCTGGAATTTTTAATTACTGTCGCTCTCGCCTCCCAAACACCTTCCCATGCTCAAGTTTCCAATTGTTTCTGCAGGCTGTCTTACAATCAGATCGGTGGAATTTGGAGGGACAATCCGACGGGAGTGCCGTTGATTTGGAGGTGGGGCACGTACGAGCACGAGTCGGTCACAAAAATAGTATACGTGGTACGTTAATTAAAACTTTCTCGATAAAAGAATCAAGCAGAAATCGTGTTTCCCATGAACACATTTTCGAACGATAATTATCATTTTTCATTTGCTTGTTTTAAATTAATCTTATGTACTCAGGAAAAGCCAACGGTTCACTTGGAGAAGCTCTTGCACACACCGAGGAAAATATTAAAGAGGTAAGACGAACATGGAAGAAGTCAGAATTTGTATGTTTAAGGGACTTAAAAAATTATACTCGAATAATTTGATGAAACTTTGTCATCAGTACGGCAAGTACTAAGAGTACTAGCCCGCGAAATAAAGAGAAAAAGGTCGAGGAACAGAAACCTGTTGTCGAGACGAACGCTGAACAAGAGGAAGGTGAAGAGGACGAGCTTGGGTACGTTGATGGGAAAAGTATAGTAATTGTATTCCAACGAGGGTTTACTAATTACAAACGGGTCCGCTCCGGTGTACGCGAGACCTTCGTAATCGAGTTCCTCGATTAAAACTGTCATCGACGTCGGTGCGATTTTAAACTTGTTTCACTTACTTCGTAATAAATAGGTTACTGAACTTGCTTTATAGAGTTGATATTATAATGCCTAAATGAATATTAAATTACGATACCAAATTTCGAACACGATCTCATTTTCATTGGAGTTGAGACAATTTTAAATCCTGATTTCTTAGAGAATATTGATAGTTGTTTTTTAGCCATGAAACTCTTCTGCGTTCCAGGGATAATATTTACGCAAGCTACGTCGAAGATACTTACCACTTTAAGACGATTTCCTTGCATTTGAATAACTACATCAGCCTGAGGATCTTTAATCGAAGCAACATTAATCTTCAGTTTCGTGAGGAGAAGCAGATTTTAAAGTAACATTAAAAGTAAACAGGGTGACGACTGTGCAATTTAAATGGGTTTCATTCGTAGAATAGAACTGGGTACCATTGTAAATATGAGTAAAATTGTGGAAACGTATTTCGTGGACTCGAATTCCAAAGATGCTGCACTAAGGTAAAATAATAGTCTGCGTTATTAGGTATAAACAGGCATTAAAGACGTCGTCTCTTCGTAATAGGAGCAAATACGAAATGCTGTTAAAAACTAATGCAAAGTTGGATAGTTGCTTGTATGACGTAGCGATGGAATTTGAGAAAGTTAGGACAATAGCCAGGCAACGTAAGTTCATGATGAACAAATACAGACCGTACCTACGTGAATGGTTGAAGTCTGGAACCAGATGTCGTCCGAGATGTATAAATTAATATCTTTCTACTGTATCGAACTAAGATTAATTCAGTTATAGTACTTAATCGGTGTAACGTAAGATAAATAAGAAGTAAATTTTGTCGTAAAAGATTTTCTGTACAATTAGAAATCCTATTCGTGTAATAAATTAATTAATACACAATTGATGAACGACGGTGTGAGTCGAAGGGCCGAAGAAGTGGACCACAGGAATTATATAAATAAAAATGAGTATGTAATTAAAATAATCATGAAAGAATTAAATCTTGTCTTATGGTGTACACATTCCTCGCGCCGCCATGGTGTAATTAAATGTGTACGAAGTAACCTCGCGCACATTCGTTTATTTATACGCGTATTTTCGCGTGTGCTTAAAACACATACTTGAAACACATTCCCCTACGCGGAGAATGTCTGTTCTCGAAACGTCTTAAATACTAAGCGAATAAAGGGGGGAAGTGGTAGAGAGACCGTGGGAAGAATGAAAGATGAGGGGGGGAAATAAAAAAAAAAAAAATTATGTTCGCAGGAATTTCGACAAATAAATTAGGGTTAGATCGATCGAATCGGGAAGATCGTGGAGTTAGAGATGTAACAAGAATAATAAATAAGGCATACACGAAAGATCGTCACGGGTTCCGATTCACGTGGAACACGTGGTGCACGAAACATGAGGTACAACGCGAAATTGGAAAAAAGGAATATCATTCGAAGTATACGAACATATAAATAATCAAGTATAGTTTAGCCGAGTAAAAGCGAAGTTCCCTTTACGTTTAAAAATCATTTTCTCCCTGTACAAGAAGGTACATCCGCTAAATAATTCTGATGGACTTTATTCCGGTGAATAAATGAACGATGTGAATTCATTTGTTCACCGAGTCTTTTATCTCGATGTGTATCTGGAGACTTCACTTTTGCCTTGCCAAGCTATGCACGCACTTTGTGATCGAGGACGCGGAATTCGATGAAACCCGCTGGTCGCGAGGGGCCGTCTGACTACTTCTGACTTATTTACAATGCCCCCCGCGACTGCTCTGGCGATCGTCGACGAACCTTACCCCCGCAGCACGCTGCCATTTATTCTTACCGCCTCATTTATGCGTGATTAAGCCGCTTTTTCAAGTCCCACGTGCTACGAAGTCTGGCCTAAAACGATTCACTCTGCAGCACGTTCTACCATTACTAGGATAAGTATTCGTAATCTTTTGTACGTAAGTGTTATGGACGGATATTGAAGGGATTCGAGCGGTATTAGGAATTTGTACGGATAGCCTCGTACGCGATGCAAACGTGATCAGAATAGGAATAGGACGTGCTCCAGCGTCGTCGTTCACGCGATTCTTTGATTCATCCTCCTTTTCTCTTTTTCTCTCTCCTGTAGAGTCGCGTTTCTAGTGCACTTATTTACACGGTACCCGAACATTCCGCCCGTCCTTTCGTCCAAGTCGACTGGTCGAAACAGGTAAGCAGCCCATACGATTTAGCTGAGGAGAAACGGAGCCTGATCACGAAAGGATAAGTCTGAATAAAGAGAGAACGAGTGGAATGTTCGCGGTGACTCGGACGTAAAGTAATTAAATAATATTCCAGCACACGTTGTTCGTCCTCGAGTTTGGCCATCCTCGAGAAAGAAGAAATCGATCGATTCTTCACTGTGAGAGTCCGTTCCGTCGCAGCGGCCTCGATTAATTGGCCACCTTGACGAATTCTGGGTTCGGCACGGCGCAGTTCTCGGCTGCGAACGCCGGATGAACGAATCCGCTCCCGGCAACGGCGTTTTTCCGGTCGACGGCACGCACTCTGACAAACAGGAACGCGGCGACTAGCGACGCGACGACCACGACGAGCAGGAGCATCACGAGGCCGCCGACGAACCCTGGCAAGCTCATACAGATGGTCTCGGGGTCGGCGGAGGCGCTGGCGTTCTGTATAACGACGGTGGTGTCGTTGCTGGAATTCGTCGTGCCCAAAGCGAAGTTCACATCGCCCGGTGCAACCACCTGGATCGTCCGCGACGTGTTCACGTCCGTCATCTCCTGGGCGGCTCGTTTGTACACGTGGCTGGACACTAGCGTGACCGTTCGATAGATATTCTGAAAACATTAATAAAACATCATTGAATATTTGTATAATGAATATTTATAATATGCAATAAAATAATTAAATAGTAAAATATTATTCGAATGTTAAAATAAGTTTAGTCAACTAATCATGAA